TAGATATGCTAGTTCACTATAAACAATGCTCTGATACCAATCTGTCACACCCCCGAACTGGGACGGCGGAAACATCCGGGGGCGGGTGACTTCATCTTGTAATATCATAACAATTGAATATAAATGTAACATAGCAACCATCATCATCATAAATTAACGATATCAACGTGCATTGTTTACATCATTGTGTTTGTTTACGAAATACATCCAAAATAACATAATGTATGATAATTCAAAAATACAACGAATATCCAAATTCCTTAGCTGCCAACCTGCTTATTGAGTTCATGAGAATACAAGTGATTTTGAAAAGCGTCAACATAGAATGTTGGTGAGTGCATAAGCATGTTTGTAAGAAACTTTGTAATAGTTTGTGACTTCCAGAAAATCCAATATTTTCTTCTAAAAATAGTTTGTGAGTCTCATTTCAAATCATGTATAAATGCATGTGTATTCTTTGTTTACCTTGTTTGAAAGCATATAGAGAGTGTTCCCAGAAAATCCTATATTTTCTGTTTTACAAAAAGTTGTGGTCTTAAACCCTAAGACCCGAGTAGTGAATTCAGATGCAAAATAGTCAACACATAGTTTTGTACTTCGTAAAATGAGTGAAGTATATGTTTTGCGTAAATTTAATATAATATTGTTATTCTCTTTGTGAGTCATTACAACCATACTAATATGACGAGAGAGCATGTCCTGACGTTCTTCAGGCATCGTTTTCTAAAGATAATTGTCACCCTAGACTGGCCTGTCTAGCTGTAGCGAGCAGCTCAGGTATGGGGGTGTCAACCCTGTATAGGTCTATACACACTATCATGCTCTCCCTCCAGGAGACTCTAGTTATAACTACAGGACTTACTGTGTACACTAGATAGGTACGAGTGAAGGAGTGTCTCACGAGAGTTTTAACAGAATTTACGCGAATATTGAATTTCATTATTTAACGTTATAAATAATGTTACGAGTGTATATTTTCGACTAAAAATTTGAAGTACCAAAATAGCCATTATTATCATAAGTGTCAAAATAGCCCATTTTTACCATTGTTGTAAAAAAGAACCCAATTTTACCAAAATTATCATTAAAGGCCCAATTTTACTAAAATTGTCAATAAAGGCCCAATTTTACTAAAATCGACATATAATGCCCATTTTAAGTAAACTTGTCATATAACTCGCAATTTAACTATAAATGTCAAAAAATACCCATTTTTACCCAACATGTTTATAAATGGCCCATTTTTCACTAAATTTGTCAAAAATAGCCCATTTTACCAAAATGTTTATAAATGGCCCATTTTACCAAAATGTTTATAAATGGCCCATTTTTACCAAAATGTTTATAAATGGCCCATTTTTACCTTTATGGCCGAAAATAGCTCCTTTTGAGTGGAGTTTCCATATTTTCCCATTTTCCAAGTTTTCATGCCAAAATTTTGTTTTGGTATATTCTTGGACATATTTTTGGTGATCTTTAACAGAAACCAAGTAAATCCATTTACACCAAGTAACTTGTTTCCATTTTTGACAAACACAAAGATAATGAAACCATATTAAGATAACTAAGCTCCATCAACTTGAGACTTGTACAAAATCTCGAGTTTATGGACCTTTAACATGAAATCACCACATTTCACACACAGATCATATAACACATGCACATGCAAGCAAATATACAAAAATTTACACAGGACTTTGACTTGTATTCTCCCCCAAAGAAGGAAAACTCGAAAACAAGGGGTATAAAGCTCACATTGGGGTTTTTTCGGTTTGGAAGGGGAGATGGTGAAGGTTTTCGGCCTAGCATGCTTCCTTGAGATGGTTTTCGAAGTTAAGGTGGTTCTAAGAGCATGAACACGAAAATGGAGGTACATGAAGAGGGATTTTTAGTGTAATACTAAAATAAAACCATAGAGTTTAACAACAACTTACCAAGTTATGAAGGCTTGAAAAGAACTCCTTGAAAAACACACAACTCACGAATTTTTGGAGGAAAGGAATGAGATTTCTTTGAGTTTTTTAGAGAGAAATATGATAATTGTGTGAGTTTGAAATGAAGAGTGAAGAGGGGATAAGGGGGGTCGGTCGATGAAGGGAAGGGGGTGCTAGGGGTTGACCTCTAGCTTGGTTGATGGGAGGTTGCCTAGTTGTATGGAGAGTAATGCATGGTTATCTACCATGCAATATTGAGGAGGCAACATGATTAACCAATGCAGTTTTCTTTTTTTTTTATTAGATGGTCTAATCGATCGGACCAAAGGAGAAAGAGAAAGAAAAGATTTTTGGGCTTGAAGGGCAACCGAGAATACATTGGGCCCAATAAGAATTTTCGACCCATTAAGGCCCATATATGGGTTTTCGGGCAAATGAGATTAAATGGAAAGTTTTTCTGACCAAAACGAGCCCACTAGTGATTCTTGGTCTTGGAAGGCCCATTAGAGAGTTTTCTGGCCCAAAACATTTCCTAATAGAGGTATTCGGCCCATTAAGCTTTAAAATAATTCTTCATGGCCCAATAAGGGTCTTACGGCCCAAAACTATGTCCAATAAGAATTTTTGGCCCATTAGGAGGCCCTATAGTGAATTCCGGCGCATTGATGCTAAAAATAAGGCTTTAGGCCCAATAGGGTCAACTTGAGAGGTTACCGGCCCATTAGGACCCAATAAGAAGGTCTTGGTCTATTAAGAGGTTTGGATCGAGAAAGCTTAGGTTAAGGCCCACAGTTGAATGGACTTAGCTTATTGGGTTACATTTTGGGCTTACACGAGGAAGTTTCGACTTGAATCACAATTTTGAATGTATAAACTTGTATAGCATTTAAGTTTGGCTTATACCAAAAGTAGGGTTATAAGATTACACAAAGAAATTATCTTGTACAAAGATAGAAATCCTAGCCCTAATTTGCTAGTTGTGATATATATATATATATATATATATATATATATATATATATATATATATATATATATATATATATATATGGGGTTAGGTTCATGTGAGACGGCATACTTTTGTGAGACCGTGATACAACTTTTTTGTAGTGGTATTTTAATATTCTAGTGTTCATAAAAATTAAATGTGTAATATTCTAATATTATAAAAACAATAATTTTAACATATTTTACATTGAAATATTCTAAAATATATAATGTTAGAATATATTGCATATTCTATTTTTACGAACATTAGAATATTAGAATATTTCAATAAAAAAATTTGGTCTTACGGTCTCATAAAATTATGTCCGTCTCAAATGAACTCTCTCTCTCTCTCTCTCTCTCTATATATATATATATATATATATATATATATATATATATATATATATATATATATATATATATATATACTAGGTTACGACCCGTGGAAACCACGGGTAAGATACAAAAAAACAATATTAATAATTAAAAATGATAATAAAAAATCAAAGATTTAAAAAATTCAATGAAATTAATAAGATATATGTTTTGTTTAGATTTCTATATTAGTAATTATTTAGAAATAGATTGTAATAAGAAGTTAATAACTTGTTACATTTTTTTTCATTTTTTCAAATTTGGTCCTTTGTTAACATAGAAGTTTACAATAAATAACAACCGAGTTTTACATTTTTCGTGTATGTTGAAAATATATGCATATAATATAAACTTATAAACCATAAATGGGAACATATATCAATTATCAATTAACCGTATATTTAGGGATGTGATTAAATAGGCACTAATTATTGCTGAAATTAGCATATTTTTTTATTGTGTCAAAGATAAAATCAAACTAATTTTACCATTTTTTCCGTTAGTAATTTGAATCCATGCACACACGGTTGATTAGTAATCAAATTTCCAGTAAAATAGAATTTGACATGCAATCTCCATAGTGCAATTCCTATAATTTAGGAATACACTCTTATCTTCCAATTTTAAATCCGAATTTCCAGCAAAAATAAATCAACTTAATTGTAATCTATATCATACCTTATATATTGAAATCTATATCAAGGAGGGGCAAAAACGGTATTTAACATTGGATGAAATCAGTGTTTTTGAAGGGACACGTGGCATATTACTTTCGTTTATTAGATAGGAAGGTATATATATATATATATATATATATATATATATATATATATATATATATATATATATATATATATATATATATATATATATATATATCAAAGTTTGTTGCTATTACCGTGGGGGTCTCATTCGAGTTTGGTATTGCTCATGGTTAAATGATGGTTTTTCTAATTGTATCTGTGATGATTGTATACTTGCTTATCCTGTATTTTAGCAGTGTACAAAATCTCAAGCAATTCTGAGAACAACTAATGTGTAATATTTTTCTTATAGTTTTTAACTTTCATTAAAATTAAATATGTAATAAATAAGCACAACTTTCAAAACCTGAGAAGTTTGTATAAAACATATTAACAAAAACAGGCGTTTAAAAATAAAGCTTCCAATATTTTCTTTTATATCCTTGCAAAGTAGTGTCCATAACACCAGTTTCTTTTATACCTCAAAAACGTGATCCATTTTTATACAAGTATTCTCGTCTTGCAACAGAATATACTCACCAAACATAAACCATTTTCAACCTCCTAAATTTCTTTTATTCAAAAACATTAATATCATTCTTGTAATAATAACTATAACCATTTTCAACTTCCTTAATCAATTATAAAATTAAAGAAACCAGTTAAATAAATTATCAATGCGCCAACACAACAACGAAATCATGAAACGATACAAACGATTTGTTTCAATAATAAAATACCGAATGAAAACCGGAACCAAGATTATATTTACAAATCTAAATTACAAGATTCCCCTCAAGAGCTCACCGAAGGCCCGAAGTACATAAAAATGGTGGATCAATCCTCAAAATCTACAGAATCGCGGATGGAATCGTCCAAATCCCATCCCCACATATCAAACCGAAAGCAACCGCACCGGCATAATCCTCTACATATCGATCCTCTGCATCCTTCATATTCACTCTGCAACCGCACCACAAATCAAACCGGCATGATCCTCTTCATCTTTCTTATTCACTCTTTCCCACACAAACAAAATCACCGTCCCAACAAACATATCGATCGCAAAATACCCCCGATATAAAACGGCACCGCCATCGCCATCGCCATCGGAATCGGAGCAAATTGCGCCACCTTCGCCGGACTCCAATCCCTAACCAAATTCAAAACCAACGCCGCCACAAAAAACTCACAACACAATGCCAAACAATGTTTCGGAAGCTCCGAAAACCCTTCCACTCAAAGAATCGCCATTTCCCTATAGATAACCGCGTACGACGCTTTATACGGACTATCAGGTGTCCCGATCTCAAACGCGCTCCAAAACATCCAAAAAGTCAACGACACGATGATACACTCCATAGTAGTGCCAACCAACTGACACACGAACATCGATTTGGCGGATGATAAAGTTAGGCAACCGGTTTTGAAGTCTTGCATTAGGTCGACGGCGGTGGCGACGATCGACATCATGACGCCGCACGCCGCTAATCCGGCAATGACGCCGCCATCGGATCTAACTATTGACGCAATGATGAAGATGTTGATTTTGTCGTACGTGGATGCGAGGCTCCAGTCTGTGAGACCGGTTCCGTAGATTTCGCGAGGACGAGGTACCATTTTAGGGTCGATTTTGCCGTAGGGCGGGGGTGATGATGTACGAGGCGAGGACGAGGTACCATTTCAGGGGTAGGAAGATTAAAGGCATTGCGGCCATGGATATCACGACTAGGGCTACGTAGCCTAAGCCTGTCAACCATGTTGGGATACTGTCTTTTAGGAAAACATCGTCTCTTTTTTGTTCCTCTAGTTGTGCTTTGGTTTTTTCGGAATCTAAAAAGAAAAATTTTAAGGTATTTAAAACGTATTGAGCATATTGATAAGGTTATGGAGTTTTTCCACAAGTTTTCAAATATATACATTTGAATAATAAAAAGAAAAGGTTAATAGCACATTGGAAATAAAAGTTGAATCTTACCAAGGATCTGTTTTGTTGTAGGGAGATCTTGTGATTTGGTGGTGTTGTTCCAGATTGCCTTAACGGACTTGTTGTTTGACTGTTTCGACACCTAAAAAATTGGCATCGTTGTTGGGGACACGATACTGCTAATAGCTTTTTGTCCAAATCTTTATGTATAGGTAATCTAGTATTCAATTCAGAAATTGAGAAGACGGCGAGGAATCTGGAGAAGAAAACAAAACTTCAAAAGCAACAAGTGGGTTCCTCAATTCCAACATCTTCTTTACCACTAGAAATAAGCACACCACAAGGCAGTCCTATGTGGAATGAACCAGAATTCATCTCTTCATCATTCCTTAAAGCACCATCATCATCACCTACCCATAGTGCAAAGCAACCATACCCACCACATTCTGAAAAAATCTAAAATCACAGACTGCGAGGAAGCTGGAGAAGGAAACAAAACTTTAAAAGCAACAAGCAGGTTCCTTAATTCCATTATCTTCTTTACCACCATAAATCAGCACACCACAAGGCAGTCCCATGTGGAACAAACCAAAAATCACTTCTTCATCATTCCTTAAAGCACCACCATCATAACCTATCCACAGGGCAAAGAAACCATACCCACCACATTCTAAAAAATCTGAAATCTCAGACTCTTCTAAATCTGATTTTGATAAATCAGACATGAGTGATGGGGAGGGCGAGGAGAAGAATCTTAGATAGTGGGCAACACAAGAGGTCGCCCAACAACCTCTCTACATTACCTTCCCTGAAGCCTAGAATTTCAAGCTGAAATATGGATTGATACGTCTCCTTCCCATGTTCAAACGCATAGAAAACGAAGACCCACATAAATTCTCGAAGGAATTTCATGTGGTATGTTTTGGAATGAAGCCACACGCCATCAAGGAGGACCATATTAACTGAGGGCATTCCCCTTTGCAGTGTAAAATTTAACTAAAAAATGGCTCTACGATCTCCTATTCGGCTCCATAACCACGAGGAACGTGCTTGAAAAATTATTTTTAGAGAACTATTTTCTAGAAGTACAAGTATCGAACAAGGAAAATGAGAAGTCTTACACGTGTATTGGGAGCGATTAAGAAAAGGTGCTTGTTCATTGCCCGCAACACGAAATCAACGATTACAATCTTTATTAATGTTTTTGTGAAGGTCTGACACCCATGGAACAAAGGTTAATAAATGCTTCAAGTGGCAGATCCTTAGGTGACATGACACCAACTGAAATCTAGGAGCTAATAGAAAAACTAGCCATTGAGTCAAAGCATTCCGGGAATGAATATGAGTGATACACTGATCAACCATGGGGAGTTAAAGAAATAAATTCACCTCATCTTGAAGCTTAGATTATTGAACCGATGAAAGCATTTTTTTCAGCTCACAAAATAAAAAATGGTTGCGCCTGCAATAAAAACAGTGTAGAATCTGCCAGAATACTGGACACCCAATTGATATGATTCTGTACTACAAGAAGACACTTATGTATTAAAAGCTATTAGAGTATATTAACAACAATTGTTTTTAATCAACCTCCAAACTATTATCAGAATAATCTCCAACAACTACATCAAATTCAAAATTCGTCTGGATTTCTGTAACGACCCAAATTTTCCAAATTTTCAAATAAAATTTTTCATTTTTATTTAACCAAACATTCCCATAAAATATGAAGTAACATTGACCATTGTTTTCAAAATTCATAACATTAACATTTTATTCAAAACATCAGAGTGTCCCATCAAGCCAAGTGTCAGAGAGTGCATGTCGCGCCATCAAGCTTTGCCCTTGCCCTTAGGCTCAGAAGTACCTGAAACAAATCAACAAATTGTAAGCTAACGCTTAGTGAGTTCCCCAGAGCATACCCCACACAGTCAACATAATCACATAATCCATATTAGCTATAAAAGCTACATAAACCATACAAGCCATGCATACAAACATATAAGGATGTCGTGGGCTCCTCCTAGGGTCTTACTCTAGGATGCCATGGGCTCCCCCACATGGTCTTACACCTAAGTGTCATGGGCTCCCCCCATGTTCTTTAGTTGGAAAGCCATGGGCTCCCCCACATGGTCTTACATCCAGGTGCCATGGGCTCCCCCCATGGTCTTTACTTGAAAAGCCATGGGCTCCCCCACATAGTCTTACATCCAAGAGCCATGGGCTCCCCCATGGTCTTCCCTGCAAGTATCACATATATAACTAGCATACCACTTAGCATAACTAACTACCATACCTCGTATTACTACATCAACTAGTGTACCACATATCACAAAATGGGCCGGCCTTGGTGCCTTCGACCCATTTGTATGATGAGGAGACTCACCTCTCAAGAATGTTGAACTGATAAGACAGGATCAGATAAGTCCCAACGCGCGACTCCAACTCAACCGCCTATAATCATCATGTGATTAACTTGTCAAAATCCCGAAATACCATAAATACCCTCTAAGTAAAAACTTAGTAAACCCTGGTCGAAGTCCAAGTCAACAGTCCATGTTGACCCAAACTCATCGACTGCATCTAGCAACTTGTCGAGTTCCTTCAGATTCCAGAAAACCAGGACAAACCCTAGCAAACTCGCCAAGTTGTCTCATCAACTCGATGAGCTCACTCAATATCCAAAAGACTGGGAAACCCGATCCAACTCGTCGAGTTGCCAGAGCAACTCGTCGAGTCCCCCCCCCCCCCCCCCCCCCGTCGTGTTTGCTTATTCTGATGGTACATCGATTGCAGGGACTCTAGGGATTAGATATAAAACCTAAAAGTGTCATAAAGTTTCCAATTTTATCCTCTAAAACCACTCTGAATGCTCTAAAGCCCTTAACAAAGGTTGGAAAGCTCAAAAGCTTAGCCATGTGTTTCAAGACTCTAGGAATCTGGAATCCCTCCTTTCCAGAAGAGGTTCTAATCCTCAAAACGTTCCAAAGATGGAGGCTTTATAGACATGCATGTCCAATGCATGTCTTGAAGTCAAAATGGCTAAAAAGGGAAAATATACCCTAAAAACCCATTCATGGCATCCTTGCTTGACCAAAAGCTAGATCTAGCCCACCATGGGACCATTTTTCCCTGGAGATTCGTAAAGTTGCAAACTTTATGAACCCCATGCATGAAATCAACAAGAATGATAGGAAATGAAGAGTAAACTCAAGATCTAGCCATATTCTAAGAAAAAAAATGAATCTTGAAGACTTACAATAGTCCACAAGATGGTCAAGCTCAGGAGTGAGGGATTTGTTTGCTTGATCTTCTCCTTCTTCTCACTATCTTGTTCTTCTTTAGCTCCAAAAGTCACTCTAGCTCACAATATGAGAGGAAGAAGGTGATTAGGGTTTAGCATGTATGTTCTTAGGGTTTGGAGGCTGATGGAAGGTCAGCCTCGAGGTTTTTAAGGAGCTTATATAGGGTGCAAACCCTAAAATTAGGGTTTTTCCTTTATAGCACCTACTCGTCGAGTTGGGCCTTCCACCTCGTCGAGTAGGTCATAGATCCCGCGTCCCACAAATGAATTCTACTCGACGAGTTGGAGCTCCCCCAACTCGTCGAGTTCCAGTCTAAACCTTAAAATTCTGAAAAGAAATAGATACTTGAAATGATCGTTACAAATCTCCCCCACTTGAACTAGACTTCGTCCTCAAATTCTTTTGATGCGAACAAGTCCAGGTAGTGCTCTCACATCTCCTCCTCCGGCTCCCATGTCCATTCGGAGCCCCTTCAGTGCTGCCATTGCACCTTTACTAATTTCACCTCCTTGTTCCGAAGAACCTTGGTCTTCCTATCCAAAATCGCAATGGGTCTCCCGATGTAGTTCAGGCTCTCGTCCACCTAAATGTCGTCCAGAGAAACAACCGCGGCCTCGTCTATGACACACTTCCGAAGCTGGAACACATGGAAGGTGTTGTGTATCTGGCTAAGCTTGTCTTACAGATCCAAGCGATAGGCCTCCTTGCCCACCCGGGCAGTAATCCTGAACGGTCTAATATATCGGGGCTCTAGCTCGCCCCTCTTCCGGAACCTAATGACACCCTTCCATGGTGACACTTTCAGCAAGACGAAATCCCCCACCTGAAACTCATGATCTGATCGGCGTCGGTCAGCATAGCTTTTCTGACGGCTCTGCGCGACTCATAGTCTGTCACGCACATACTGAATAAGCTCAGTCGACTTGAGCACCACCTCGGTGCTCCCCATGACTCGGTGCCCCACCTCACCCCAACAAACAGGGGTCCTACACCTGCGACCATACAACATCTCAAACGGTGGTCAGTCGATACTAGCATGATAATGATTGTTGTATGAAAACTCTGCTAGTGGGAGATATGTATCCCAACTCCCTCCAAAGTCCAACACGCATGCTCGAAGCATATTCTCGAGTGTTTGGATTGTCCTCTGACTCTGGCCGTCTGCCTGGGGGTGGTACACTGTGTTGAAATGTAACTGAGTGCCCAGCTCCTCGTCGAACTTCTTCCAGAATCTAGATGTAAATCGGAGATCCCGGTCAGAGACAACTGACACTGGCACCCCTTGCCTAGCCACCACCTCTCGCACGTAAATGTCCACTAATTTCTCAGTGGAGATGCTCTCGGGGATCAGAATAAAGTGGGCACTCATCGTCAAGCTATCCACAATA